CTGGGTGCTGGCTGGAAGGTGGGTGAAGCCAGTGGGGGGGCCCACACCCCAGCACCCTGCCTGTGAAGCACCCCCCATCCCGCCCACTGCGGTCCCCACACCCAGCCCTGACACCGCACACCCATCCCCAGGGGGGCCAAAACTTCCCTGTTTCGCCCCAAATGGTGCAGGAAGGGCCTTAGGGTGGCCTCAGGAGCCCCCCGAGGGACACCGTGGCCCTCAAACCCAGCGGGGCCTCTCCAGTGATCCGGGGGAATTGAGGGGGGGGAAAAAAGAGGGGGAGTGGGATCTGGTTATCATCATTTTTCATTAATTACCCGTCCCTCGGGAGGGGTGAATTAAGTCTATTTGGTGACCTCACGCGGGCTGCCATGGCAACCACTGGAAAATATTGCATTAGAGCCCATCACTATGCTGCTGAGATAAGGAGCCGGGAGGGCCGGGGGCGGTGCGAGCCCCCCAGCCCAGCCCCCCGTACGGCAGCACGGCCGCCCCCAGTGATTCAGGGTTCAGCCCATGGTGATGCTGAGGAGCCCCAAAATAACCCGGTCTGGATGGGACAGCAAAGGGTGCCAAAAAACCAAGCGTGTTTTGCACCAAAAGGTGCTGCTGGGGCGGGATGGGTGCACAAGCCGCCCTGCTGCACCCCGAAGATGCTCTGAGTTTGAGGGGGCTGTAACACCCCTCACTGAGCTACGAGGCTACTGCCTTGGTGTAGGGCCTGCTGCAGGAGGCAAATTTGGGGATATCATCTCATTTTGGGGCTGGCGGGATGACCCGAGGCCTCCCAATGTCCCTTGTCCCCTCTGGCCAGGCCCGACAGAGCCCCAGAGGGTGCTATGGGACGGGGCGGCTGGGGAGGCTTGGAGCAAGGGAAAGGATCCGGCCCTTTCCCCAGCACCGAACCCGCTCGGCCTCATTCCAAAACCTCCCCCAAGGCGAGCAGGGCAGCTGCGCTGGGAGCACGCCAGCCCGGCTCGCTCCCCTCCTGCTTTCTCCTGGAAAATCCTCCTGCTCACCACCCGTTTCGGTGCTTCCCAAATCGGGGCTCAGCATTGAACCCCCTTGCCCTCTGGCTGTGTGGTGGCAGTGCCGGGACCCCGCTGCAAAGCTGGGCTGTGCTGGGAGCCACCACGGCTCTGACCGACTTCTGTCCCTTCGAATCACCCAGCGAAGCTCCCGGCTCCTTTTTTTCCCCTTCCCTGCACATCCCTGGAGCATCCCGCCATCCTCCGCTGCCGCTGCCCTGGCAACCACCGCCCCAGCATCCCCTCCAGCAGCCGCCCCCCCCAAAATCTCCCCCCAAAAGCAAGCACCAGAGGCGACAGGGGTGTCCCCAGCATTGCAGTGGGGAGCTTGCACTTGGGCTGATTCACCCCCCGAGAAAGGGGGTGTCCCCGCGGTGGGTGCAGGGAGCCCGTGGTGCCACGGCACCCGCCTCCGCTCCGGCTCTCTGCCGGCTTCGTGGAAATGGGTCATTCCTGGAGCTCGCTGGGAAACTGGGAAGAGGAGGGAAGGAGCCAAGCGGGGCGACATCCCCGTGGCGTCACCGGAGGGGACAGTCCCCCCATGCCGGAGCCGCTGCAGGGGATGCCGATGTGGCTCCTGCGCCCAGGTGAGGCCACGCTGCTGGATGTAGTTTTTTGGCCACGGTGGTCACCGGACACGGC